GGGAGCTGAGGCTGAGACATCAGATAAGTAAATCAGGCTACTGCCAGATTCTATCGCTTGAGTCAACTAAACGTTGGCTGGCTAGGTGTCCTGTGTACCCGGCCAGGGGATTATCTGAAGACATGCTTCTCACCTTCTCTCCTTGACTTTTGCACCTATATGTCATTTCTGTCAGGATCTGTAGAGACCTAGGAAGGCGATGAAACTCACATCAACCATTTTTCCTTCCTGACAACTTAGATAAATTACTTAGCTGGGAAAAGGTTGAAACTGTTCATTTAAATGTGGTTTGGAATTATTGGTACATTTCAGCCATCCATCTTATTTGTTTTCTCTACAGCCACAAATAGTTGAAAGCTGAGTGTGGAAGATAGAATAAAATTGTTTTTCTAAATACAGTGGAAAGTGTTATCATAGAGAAGATCAAATGCTCTTATGAGAAAAGTTCATATGAGCAATAATTTTAAATTCTGAGGATATTAGTGATGAGCTATTTTAGGAAAAGTTGTGACTTTTATAACTAATGGATTTCAGATTATCCTCTAGAGAATGTCAAAGGGATGCTGTTCTATGTTGAAGGTTAAATCACACTTGACTATCATTTTATGAAGTGATCTATTAGACACTGGGAAAAACAAACTTCTTATGATGTGAGGTTAACAAATACTTACCTGGAAGCTTTTGAAGGGAACTTGTATCATATGATTTGTTGTATGTTTTGGTCCTGGCTTTATTTTACTTCAAATAAGTAATAAAGTTTTAAAATTTATTTTCTGATATTGAGTATTATATTTTTTATAGGGATGATTCTGTTAAAAGATTTACATTTATTTTTCAGGACTTAATCTGAAAGTTATCAGTTAAGATTCAAATCCTTTATTTAAAATGAAAACAGAAGAGTGTGTAAGAATATAGAAAAACAGAGGAGCCTAGAAAAAAGACTAGAAACAAAAAGAAATATTAGAGTTCAAAAAAGATCATTATGGGATTGAGAAGTGATCAGTAATAAATAAAATATTTTATTGTGGATAAATGTATGAGTAATAGATGTGTAGAAGGAATAAGAATCACAAAGTAAAATAGAAAAAAAGGTGATTATATAAACGGATAGATGAATCTGGGGATATAAGGATGAGTAGGATAATGTCCCTGAGCTACTGGAAGTACAATTTACTGGGGAAGCAAGGGGTGGGAGATAACATAGGTAAACAATTCATTATAATCTAAGATAGAAAAAAATCATAGACTAAAAAAATAGAATGTTCTGGGAATTTGGAGGTAAAAGAGGGAGAGAAGAGAGGATCATGACATCAATGGAAGAGGGGCCATTGAAGTGAACTTTGAGGCCTGGTAGGATTTGACCAGGGGAGAAGGGCATAAGCCAGGGGAGAGACAGAGGCTGCAGATGAAATAAAGATGAGAGGCATTGGGAATGGGTTCCTGAGGGCAGTGGGGTGAGGTGGGATTGAAAGAAGAGGACACTTCCTTCTCAGGTTGTTACAAAGAGTTTTTGGATGCAGGAAGCGTATTCATTTTGTTCTTAACACTGAGAAGACATTTAGTAAAATACTGCAAAGAAAACTGCTCAATCAATAGAGAGTTTTTTATCAGAGACTGGTAGCATATATTCTCTACTTAGAGCAAAATGAAGAGAAATGAATATAATATGTCAACAAGGATATTATCAAAGGAAATGATAAATCATATTCCTTTTTTTGCATTTTTCTTAGAGAGGATATGTTTTAATATGGTTGAAATGGATTGGTTATGGGCATGCCCTTATTTTCTTTCTGACAGGGTGGGCCTGGTGATTTTGGAATGCTACATTTCAGACTGAAAATATTGCATGTATGTGAAGGCATGTGTTCTCATATGGAGCATGGCCTGGCCATACAAAAATAGAGGGGCGCTATTTTTTCATGAAAGTAAGAGGGATGCCAGGAAACTGGGATTAGAATTTCAGCTTGATTATTAATTAGTTCTGTTTTTAGGGCAAGAATCTCAACTCCTATAAGTCTTAGTTTCCTTTAATTTTGTATTAGCTTCATCTATGTATTTATTTATATTTTTTATTACATTTATTGAGTGACATTGGTTAATAAGATGATTTAGATTTCAAGTGTACATTTCTGTGTGCCCACCAGCCAAAGTCAAATCTTCTTTCATCACCATATATTTGACCCCCTTTCCCCTTTACTACTACCCACCCCCTTCCCTCTCGTAACCACCATACTGTTCTCTGTGTCTATGAGTTTTTGTTTGTTTGCTTGTCTTGTTTATTTGTTGCTTTCAGCTTTATATCCCACATATGAGTAAAATCATATGGTTCTTAACTTTTTCTGTCTGATTTATTTCGCTTAGCATGATATTCTCAAAGCCCATCCATGTTGTCACAAATGGTAGTGTTTCATCTTACAGCTGAGTAGTATTCCATTGTATATGTGCCATTGTATATATACCACATCTTCTTTATCTAATCATTTATTGAAAGACACTTCAGCTGTTTCCATGTCTTGGGCACCGTAGACTCACTAAGGAAAAAAGAGAAAAGACTCAAATAAATGGAATCAGAAATAAAAGAGGAGAAGTTACTACAGACATCACAGATACACAAAGGATCATACAAGAATTCTATGAAAGACTATAGCTACCAAGTTCAATAACCTAGAATAAATGAATATATTCCTAGAAATATATAACCTTCCTAGACTGAATCGCGAAGAATTGGAAAATTTAAATAGGCCGATCAACAGTGAGGAAATTGAAACAACCATCAAAAAACCTCCCAAAAAGTACAAGTCCAGGACCAGATGGCTTCACTAGTGAATTCTACCAAACATTCAAAGGAGATTGGATGCACTTCCTTCTCAAACTCTTCCATAAAATTGAAGAAAAGGCAACACTTCCCAACACATTTTATGAAGCCAACATAACCCTGACACCAAAACCTGGCAAGGGTAACACAAAAAAGAAAACTACAGGCCAATATCTCTAATAAATATAGATTAAAAATCCTAAATAAAATAGTAGCAAACTGAATACAACAATGCATTAAAAGTAATACATCACGGTCAAGTGGGGTTCATTTCAGGGGCAGAAGGATGGTTCAACATATGCAAATCAATCAGTGTGATTCACCACATTAACAGAATAAAGGGTAAAAATCATATGATCTTATAAATTAGTTTACTTTTTAATGAAATTAAAGCAGTGGTCATGATAGCTAAGATTCTTTTAGCCTTAAAATTAAATAATTCTAAAAATGTATGGTATATTATCTTCTTTAGTCATGGTAAAGTCACAGAATGTGTCTTTTTAAATGAATGTTTCCCTTGCTTGAATTTCATGAAAACATTTTGTCTGCTACTTGAGTAATTGGAACCTCTGATAACTTTTGAAAGAATTATAAAAACTCACTTGATGTTACAGGTGTGGATGCTAAGCTTAAAAAAGACTAAACCAGATTGCCTCTACATTAATTTTTCTCTGCCTATAAATTTCATTCATTTGAAAGCTGTAGTAACTCAGGCTACTGTGAACCATCGATAAATTGTTACTCACAAGCACTCTACTAACTGTTGGAAGGTGGAAGAGTTAACTAATGCAGTTCAAAAGTTTGACTCCGTTGAGACCTTCCTGAGTGTCTGGTTTTATGGTTTTGATAGTCAATTTTGCCCTTCAAGTAAGTCACTTTAGACTAATCACTGTGAGCAGAAAATATGAGTAAATTAATTTTGTTTGAATTGATTATCATATTTTATTCATTTGAGTAGACTTCCCTTTAGACTATGGAGATAGAGATGCCTGTTTTCGCTCAGCAATGTGTTGCATCCCTTCTACTTTCCACTACGCCTACATATAGTGGTTGCTTAATAGGTATTCGCTAAATGAATGAATAATAGAATTTTACTCCTATAGAGTTATTAGGCACTAAAAATTTGTGACTTGATGTTCTTTTCCATTTGAAAATTTGTAATCACAAACCACTTTATATTTGGAAGTGATTATATAAGATAAGAAAAAACTGACATGAAAAATGTCTTACTCAAGACCTTTTATGTCCACTTTGAATTCTGCCTTGAACTAACTCCCTTCAGAATATTGAGCCAGACAAATAAACATGGAATAGTAAGATGAAATGGGACAATTTTTATTGAGAATAGAAGAGTGCTGGAAATTCAGGAAGTGTTAGTTTGCTTATTGATTGACTTTCTTTAATCATTTTTTCAAAAGGCCTCCCGTCCCTTGTCTTTCTGATCAAATTTTTTTACCTATCATCTTTCCCCATTTTCACATACAGATTTTTCTTTTCTTCATCTCTCCAACAGTTGTATTATTTCCCCTACATCACTCAGTATCTTAATTACCTCTTGGACGTACTTGCTTTCTATGCAAATACGGAGGGCAGGGACAACCATTTCAGTGTTGGTGCCTACAAGCTCTGTTGAGTTGGTAGCTCTGAGACCTGACCCACTCCTCATTATTGACAGTGGAGCTGGAGCCCTACTAGAGGAACGACTAGACCTCTGCCATCTTTAGGCCACCCAAATCCAAGCTGGCAACTTCATTTATATTTTCAACAGTCCTTTAGCTCATCACTAGGTGACTCCCTATTCTGAATCTCATTGCTGTTGTTTCAATGACACTTGCCTTGATGTTGTAGTAACCTTTGGGATGAGGAAGTGGAATAAAACGTGTTCATGAATGCCACCTGTGGCTTAAGGAATGTGTATGCATTTATTCAACAGTTATTTGTTTGACACGCATAGTGTGAGAGGCATGTTGCATAACTAGAGCAATCAAGATAGGTGACTCCAGCTGTAGTGTTAGAATGGGTGAGAGTTGGAGCAGAGATTATCCTTCCCTCTCCCATTTCTTGTGGTTAAGACCATGGCTTTCTGTGCTGGCTGTGTTATGTAGGTCTCTCTGTATGTACTCTTTCCAATGAGCCAGGTTAAGGATTTCTGACAACCACCTTTTTGATGTTTGTTTTGTGACAGATGATTCAAGAGAGCCGGTTTCTCATAGAAATGGCTGACACAGTCCAGGAAAAGATTGTGCAGTGCCAGAAAGCAGGTAATCTCCTCCCACTCTCACCCTCCTGCAACTATGTTGTTTAGAAATCATAATGATAATTCTTGGCAGATTTTTAAAAAAAGTTTGTGTTCTTATTTTTGAAATTAAATATTTTATGGCATAGTTTATATTTTGAGTTACACTTAAGTCTTTGTTTAGTACAGATATATATATATGTGTGTGTGTGTGTATATATATATATATATATATATATATAGATGTCTGAAGATTTCTAGAGAGGTGAGCATTTCTGAATCAACTTTTGTGGTTTGGTAGCCTATCAAAACCTTTTACTACTGATATGGAAGCTATGGTTCCACACTGCCTCTCAAGAACCACTTCACTCTTACAATTTGAAACATAATCCTTTTAATCTTTGAGGCCTTTGCCTCATTTACTGGTCCTCACATATCTGTGAGGACATACCTCTGTTTATGTTTCTCTTTATCCAAATTCTGTACTCTTACTTTTCTTGGATCCATGTCTCCTTGATACACACACACAATAATGATTATGATGAAGATGATGACAATAATGACAATTGCTTGATATATATGCATAGGATATACTAATTACTGCATTGTGTTCCTTGGTCCTTGTAACAGCTCTGCAAGGTAATAACCATGACATCCAATCTACAGATGAGGCATCTGAGATTCTGAGAGATTGAGTGAATTACCCACGATCCCATATTAAAATGTGGTAGAGCTGACCTTTGAACCCAGACCAAACTTTAAAAATGATGTCAGGCACTACTTTGAGAGCTTTACATGTATTGACTCATTTAATCTTCACCACAATCCCTTGAGGGAAACGTTCTCATTATCACCATTTAACCAATAAGGAAACTGAATGGTGGAGTTTCAGAGACTTGCTCAGGTACCTGGTAAGTGGTGGAGCCAGTGTTAGCCCCGGCTCCACAGCCATGCTCTTACCATACGCTATGTTTGAGATGTGAGCACCAGGAAAGTTAATGTGGTTTTAGGCTGCATCAGTAAAAGCAGAGTAGCTCGAACAAGTAGGGTGGTAATACATCCTTCCCTCAAGTGGCTGCTTCAAGCCCACTTTGATAGATGTTTCTGGGTTCAGGTCTCTGCAAGCTTCACTCTGGGAAGTTAGGTAACACAGTGGCCCTGCCTGGATGTCATCCTTAAACAAAAGACATTATTAGTAAGCTGAAACATGTTAGAATGTCTAATCTGGAGAACAGAAGACTCTAGTGGGCTTTAATATCTTTTTAAAAATATTTAAAGGGTCACTCTGCAGAAATGAAATTAGACCTTGTTGATCTGGGTCTAGCTAGCACCAAGGAATGAATCGAAATTCCAGGGAAAAGAGACTTTGGCTGGATATCAGTCTTAGCTCTTCCAAGATGGAATGAACTGTCCAGAAGAAAAATTATTTTCATTCTTGAAGTTCTAAGACAGAGGCTGATGAAACAGATTGTGGTGATGTTTTTATAGTATTCAAGCTTTTGAGAATAACTGAGCTAAAATACCACTTTAAAGTCATTCCCAAATCTGAAACATTTGGGTGTTTACAGGAATGCTATTTTAAAAAAATCTTTTTATTTTTATTTTGCATTTATTAATTACCATTGTTATTGATGTGGGCTCCAGGGCCTACTGTCAAGGCATATGGGTGGTTCATAGGAAAAGAGAGATTTATGCCCATCCCATATGGCTGCCCTTCACACATTGAACTATTTCATATAAAAACCAAGCACAGAACAAACAAGATGGATGTAACCTATTGGAAGAATTGCTTCTTACCTTCTCATGTGTTTGCCTATGGCTCCTGGCTGTTTAAAATGTATTTTAGTCTAATGCATGGATTATTATTGTTTTTCCCTAAGAATAGCCATTTGGTGGGGATGAATGGAATGGGAAGGACAACTTAAGTTAGGGATTTAGAGATTATAAAAGAAAGACAGGAATGGGAAATTATATATTTACTGATAATGTTTTTATTAAATGCCTATTTTTCTTCAGTATATATTAAGAAATCTTACATGTTCTCTTTTTTTAAAGGAATGGAGTTCCATGAGGAACTTCATAATCTGGGAGCAAAAGAAGGTTTAAAAGGAAGGAAACTCAACAAGGCAACTGAGAGCTTTGCATGGAACATTACAGTGCTGAAGGTGAGTGAAATGTCCAGGTGCCCCCTTTCCCTTTGTTTTTCATTTCTCCAGAAACATCCATGGTTAAATATGATGATTTGCATTTTTAAGTAATGAGTGGCCTAGTCACCGGGCCCGTGCTCTGAGTGATGGGGAGACGCACCCTGGCACTGCGTGCTTTCTGCCCTAGCAGGGCAGTGAGCTTTGTGGTGGGGGCAGAGCACAGCACAGCCTAAATATGTTGCCCGGTGTTCGTGCCTCTGTGTTTTTACTCACATGGACACTTCTGTTCAAGGCAGTATAGCCGTTCTTGTTTGTGATAACAATAAGGCCAAATGTTCCAATGCAAGTGATTTGGAAGAGCCTTAAGCTATAAAATATCTGGAGCCATTTAGGATTATTTTTATTTTAAAAACAGACATTATAAATACATTTATTTTTGCAAAGAGCTTTGGAAGTAATTTTCTTGAGATTATGATTTGCTCTGTTGAAAATTAATTTCAGGATTTTAAGTAAAGATGACACTTTTCTTATTTTCTTATATGAAAGGGGAAATGATTTAAGCAGTCGGAATAATTCGTTTTTGATGTGATAGGAGAAAAATAGCCACAAATAAAATTAATCATTGCCGACATTTAAAGAACACATCCTGTGTGTCAGATGCTGTTTCATAAGGTTTATATGAATTAACATTTTAATACAACCCAATACTGTTATTATTCCCATTTTACAGGTAAGAAAACTAAGGCATTAAAAACTTACATGCATTACCCAAGGTCACTTGCTTAGTGAATGGTGGAGCTGGGATGTGAACCCAGGTGGTTTGCTCTAGAGCCTGTGTCTTTAACCTGCTCTGCAGAGAGATGCTGCACACGTTTATGTGAAAGTGCTAGGTGACCTATAAGTATCATAAATGTTTATTAAAAATTCAACTCACAGATATTTGTTAAGCCCTACTGTGTACTGGGCTCTGTCCTAGGCATCGAAGATCCATGGAAAACAAAAAGAGATGCAGGCCCTGATCTCATGAATTGACACTCTGGGGGTAAGGGGTGGGATGGGGGAAAATAGGCATCATTTGCTTAACAGGCAGGGAAGAGCTATCACATTAATATAAAGAGGAGCTTATTATAACACTAGAGTACATCATGGCAGTGTGAACCCTGATACAAACGCCTTCTGTTCAGCAGATATTTACGTGGACTTATTAATGTACTGGTCCTTGAGAAAGGTGCTAGGCTCCAAATAGCAAAAGAATAATACCTAGGCCTCCAGGACCAGTCTACAAGGGTGACAGGCATAAACTAATAAAGGCCATTAATTATTCAGCACTTAATATGTGACAGGCACTCATGGGTAAGTAGTTGATGTACATTTCCCCTTTCTCTGCAACAACCGTGTCACCTTGAGACAGCTCCTGTCTTTTCTGATATCTCATCTCTCCCATCTTACAGATGAGGAAATTGAGGACTAGGGAGGTTTGTTTCTTGTCTTTAGCTAATAAATGGCAGAGCTGAGATTTTAACTCATGCCCATGGTTCTAACCATTGCCCTGTCCTCTTGCCTCCTGTAAAATTCAATCCTCACGACTGAGTCCAGGCAGCCTAGAGCAGGGGTGAGGGCACAGGCTCCGCGTGCAGATCGCCTGAGAGCTGAGGCTTTGGCCAGGTTATGTACTCTCTGAGGGTGCTAATAATATCTACGCCCAGTTTTAGTGAGAATTATATGAGATAATACATACAAGAGCTCTAAGTCACCATTTTGTGGGCTTGTCAATCAGGTGCCCTTTCTGCACATAATAGACAAATTACCTCCTTGGAATTTGAAATTTTAGCTGAGAGAGAAAGGGACTGAGCTCTGTGGGAGACTGTTTATTCCAGTGGTGCCTCAGGGAAGATCCCCTTCTGTCTAAGACTCTTCCTTTATTTTTGTATCTTAGATTTGGAGCTCTTAGATCCTGCTTTGTTCTCCTGTCTTATTAATTTTCAGAGCTCCTCAAAGTCTTCCAATACATGCCCCTTCTCTTAAGTTTACTAGAGTCAATTTACATTGGTTACAACTGGTTGAATTAGTAATAACCATGCTGGTAAGATATAATCACTGAATTAGTAGGATGTGGCAGGGCTCACCTCTAAAATTCTAAGTTGCCTATTGAAAAGGTTTCCTTACATGCTAATTTACACAAGGACTCCCCACTCTCTAGGGGGAGGGAGTAGAGCCCGATCAATATTGGTTGAATATGTGGGTTCATGTAGCTAAAAATATTTAATTCCAATGTAATTTCCAGCAAGTAAGGAAGGAATTGGCAAAAATGAGAAATGTGCCTTCAGGTAAATGGTGGGTTGGCAGCATGGAGTTATAGAAAGGGGCATTAGTTTTAAAGTAAATTGAGCTGAGACTACAAAATAAATTCCTTAGTATATGTTTTCTGAAATCCAGTATTATACTCATCTGATATTAATAAATGCCAGGGAAGCTGGAGAAAAGTTTTCAGAGACAAAGATGAATAGCTATGTAATATAATGAATATGAATTGTAATGACAGTGTCCAGATTTTCTAAGCCAGAGGTCAGGGCTTAGAATCCAGCAAGGAGGCTGAAATCAAGATGGTCCTGGGAGCTCCCATACATATGTTTTCCTTTAATTCAGAGTTCAGCACCATGCGTGGGGCCAGAGCAGGAACTTGTGCAGCAGGCCTTTTGCATTTCCCACACTTTTACCATATGCCAGTATCCAACCCTACCCATCCGTTCCCTCTCCCTTCCTTTCTCTTTCACTACTGAGCACAGAATCCAGCTCCCTGCGTAGCCAGCGTGTTTATTTGGGTAGAATGATGTGAGTCTCACGACTCAGTCTTCAGTATCTTTTGCAGATAATCACTGGACCAAGATAGCTCCGTCTCAGCCCCCTCCCCGCACATGAATGCGTCCTTTGGTCTGTCTGTTCTCCATGATGTCCTTCAAAAATAAGTTTTGTTTGCTTATTAACCTTGGTGACTGGCTATTTCGACGAGAACTCGCCTGTGCGGCCGGCTACTTTTCCGTTCTTTTAAAACTCTAAATTGCTTTCAGACCTTAAAATGACTTAAGTTAATGTAAGTGCAGACATGAGTTATCTTGTGACCAGTTAGCAAGGTGAAACATAATATTAAAATCCTACAATGGGAATTTTTCCTGTTCTTTAAGTCTCCCAGAAAAAGATACTGCAACTCTACTTGCATAGCCAACCTATTGTAGTCCGTTGTTAATTTGGGAAGTGTTTTATTTAAAATTATAGATTACTTAAAAATAAACAATATAATTTCCTTGACTTTTTATTGTAACATAGAAAAATGCTTTCAAGTGCACCTAAAACCCTTCAGATTTTACCCCAAAGTACGCTATGCAGCCAGTCTCAGTGCTTTGATAAGCACAGATCTCTCTCTGCAGACGGCGGGGATGAGGGCAGACATTGTCACATGGGTGTCGCTGCAGCCAGTTTTAGGGCAACAGGCCTTTTTCCTCTGCTTGTGCTTGGACTCAATCGTGTGATCAGTGGCTTCTTCTGATACGTGCGGCACACACTTTATGTTTCACTGGCTTCTTCCTTTCCAGCTGCGTAATGGGGCAGATGAAACTGGTCTCCACATTTTATAATTATGTTTTTTCCCCCCAATTTTTTCCTGTAGCGTCACTGCATTACAGTGCTTTAAATACATTGGTCCTTTTGTCACTAAACTTATCAATAGTGTAGATCTCTCTACTTATAGATCCTGTCTTTTATGTCTTGCTCCCCTACTTTTGATTTTTTTAACCCATGGCTCTATGAGACCCTAATTTTAAGTTTCTAGTTTTTCTTTNTCAATAGCGTAGATCTCTCTACTTACAGATCCTGTCTTTTATGTCTTGCTCCCCTACTTTTGATTTTTTTAACCCATGGCTCTATGAGACCCTAATTTTAAGTTTCTAGTTTTTCTTTGCATAGTCTCCCAGTGTGATTCCTCTTACTGCTCTCTTTTCCCTTTCTAACTGCTCTTTCCAAATGGAATGATCTATACTTAGTATCTTGGTGGGATTTTGTTTTTAATTGTGGTAAAATACACATAATATAAAATTTACCGTAATAGCCATTTTAAATGTACAGTTCACTGGTATCAAATACATTCAAAATGTTGTGCTATGACCACCATCTATGTCCTTACTCTTTTCATTTTGTAAAACTGAAACTCTATACCCATTAAACCATAACTCCCCATTCACCACTCCCTTATTTTTATGTAGCTCTGCTTGACACCTGCAGCCTGCTAAAATTGATTTTTTTTACCAAATTTTAAAAAATATAAAGATAATGGAATGTTGTGTATTGATCTAGTCTATATCTTCTCTATGCTACATTTATTTTAAAATTTTCACTTGATTTTTAACTTTTGCCTATTATATGTTTTAAAAATAATATTTGAGTTTTGGCAAGCAGTTCTGGTATTGTCATGCTGGCAGTGTTGGGTGACTGGAACTGGGAAGGGCAAAATAACAATGATGTCAAAGGGAGGGTCTGATTATGGTGGCAGCCGGTTTAGTCCCATTCAACCTAGCAAGCCCTAGACTCACCTGTAATCTCAGCCAGCTGCCTTACCGTGCTTGTCATTTGTCACCAGGGAAAAGGGTGCAGGTGAGAGAGAATGGATGAATCAGTTCTAGGAAACAACTTCATTCTCATGTGTCAGTGCCATTGTCTTCTTACAAAAAAAATGTTATCAGGCCTTATGAAGTGAAGAGTATACATTTAGAAGACATAGCATCTACCCCTGGGGTTTTATAAGCTAAGTTTGATATTTTTCCTTGACTAGGTATCTGGAAAGGTACTCTTAGACACATTTTTAGGACCTTGTTATTGTTTGGCTTATTAGTGCAGAATAAATACCTTTCTCTCCCATATCAAGGAGGGGATTTTATTTATTTCCCTTCCAACATTTATAAATAAGAAGATACAAACTATAAAAAGGCTTCTTCTAATGCATAATTTGGGAAACAGTAATTTTTGTG